TCCAGCAAGTACCAGGGGAAAGAAGAAACAATCACAGAGCGCTGCAGAGCAAGGGCCATCCCAGCAGAAGGGATAAAAATGGGGAAATCCCAGGGAACAGATCGGTGTTGGAGCCAGGGAAATGAGATGAATAAGGGGCATTAAGCAAGAGAAATGGGCTCAGCTGGAGGAAGAGGACATCGGAGAATGAGCAAGAAGAGGACACAGGGAGCAAGACAGGTCTGAACAGGAGAGAGAGAGGAAACAGGCTGCAGCGGGAGGGGGGGTTACTGTTTCCCAGACACCCATAACACAGGACTCGGGTCTCTGGACAAGCCAAAAGCTCCTCAGAGAGCAATCCCATGGCAAAACCTCAGTGACAACCCTGTCTTGTGCTGAGTGCCCAGGGCTGGGGGGCCACCAGCCTTACCTCATGCAGAAGCCCTAAGGAAGAGGGAGCCAGCATACCGCCCGGCAGTGGTGCCGAGACACACAGCTTCTAACGCCTGGCAGGAGCCTTGGTGGGTCCAAGCCGAGACCTGCTCCCTCAAGGGGCTTCGGACAGATCTTTGGCCTCTAACACCAGTACAGCATGGGCTAAGCTGCCTGTTCCCTACCTACCTCCCTGCCACCCCTCACCTCCTTGTCCCATCTCCATCCCAGTCTCCTCACCCACCCACCCCAAGCCCCACACGGTGCCCAGCCCACTGGCTGCCAGCGCACCACGCCAGTATGCTGAACGCCTGACGCCCTCCCACCCTGTGGCCTGGGTTACTTCATCTCTGTGGCAAGGACCATCTGCGTCCCCATCTCTGTCCAGTGCTCAGCCCAGCAAGAGCAGCTCTGGTAACTAGTGTGATTCATTGGAATAACAAAAGCAGCTCCTGGCACCAAACAATTGCTGGTCCGTACCACAGGGCAGCTGTCCTGGCACAGGTCAGGACAACTCCTTACCAGAGGCAAAACCAAGGACACGCTATGAAGCTGAGCCTGGGAAACAAACCTGTGGGCAAAGCTGGGACAAGGAGCAGGGACAGGAGCATCCCAGCGCAGCGCTCAGCCCCATGCAAGCAAACGCAAGGCACTGCCCCAAAATCCCTGCTGAGTGCTAGCAGTGCCACAGTCCCCAGTCAGAAAAGGGACAAAGACCAAAGACCCAGGACTCTTCCCCTGAAACAGTGACCCTGAAATCTGAAAGCCACCACCACCACCAGCAAGACCACTCTCAGGGGGGGAGCGGGGGGCACACAACACCACCCAACCCTGAGTTCAGGCATGTCCCCCATTTCCCATCGGCAGCCATGGGCCAGACCCCCACCAACTCTGCAGCGGGGCCAGACCCCATCCTCACTGGGCTGGGGGTATGTGTGTGCACAGCAGACCCCGCTGGGGAGAGGCCACGCTGCAGCACAAAGGGGACCGGCTGCCGTCCCGCCATGCTGGGGGGCAGAGCTGGACCCTCCGCGTGGTCCCAGCAAGGCACTACTTGCCACACAGCCTCGGCTACCCCCACACCAGCAGCCATAAGCCCCCTAATGTGATGCAAAAGGAACTTAGTGGGGAAAAAGGGCTGCACACAAGGCAGGGGCCCCCAGCCCCTGGGCAGGGGTCGGGCCGCACAGGAGTTGGCGGGAGCGGAGACAAAGGCAGGGACATGGAAGGGGGCAGCTCCTGCAGCCAAGCGATGCTGGGGCAGCACAGCCCCCCAGGGGCACCCCACATCAGGGCACACGCATGCCTCTCATAAGGGTGCAGCAGGAGGTCCAGCAGCCCCCCCAAACCAAGCAAGGGGAGAGCTCCCCAGCATCGGGAACCCCCCTGAAGCATTAGGCATCCCAAATCCAGCACCCCATGCATTGGGGTGCCCCATGCATCAAGGATCCCAAACCCAGTAAGGGGGGAACCCCATGCACCAGGGACCCCAAACTCAGTATTGGGGTGCTCTGTGCACCAGGGTGCCCAGGCACCGGGGACCCCAAACCCAGCTTTGCGGTGCCCCATGCACCAGGGTGCCCCGTGCGTAGGGGACCCCCAAACCCAGCAGCGGGGTGCCCTATGCATCGGGGCACCCCGCGCACGGGGGACCCCCCGGCTCACCTTTCTCCTGGGAGTGCGGGGAGTCCTCGCCGCCGTCCTCTTGGTCGTCCTCGCTGCTGGCGCCGGCGCGGCCCAGGGCGGCCAGGAGCGGGAGGGAGACCCGCAGCGCGGCGCGGTTCATCTCCAGCAAGTGC